ATCGCCCGCCGGCCGGCCCCGCGGCGCTCGCTGCACCTGGAGGGACTGCGGGGGACCGGCCCGGCCACCTCCTCCCCAGGCCGGTCCCGCCGAGAGCGCCCAGCCCTGCACGTCCACGCGCCCTCCGGCGGGAAGCCGGTGTCCGGCCCCGGGTCTGACTCCGGGGCCGCTACCCTCCGGCGTGAGCCCGGGGAAGGCCGGGAGCGGGAACAAAAGGGGAAGTTTCCCGGTCCCGAGCCCGGCCCGAGCGCGCACTCCCGGTCTGACAGCCGCCAGGCCCGGGCAGCATTGTCCGGGTGCAGCGCGCACCGCCAACTTTTCCTGGAAGACGCGGCCGTCCCGCTCGGAACAAAGTGGAAGGTCAGCGGGGCGCAGCGGAGGCGCCGGGAGCGCACAGCCTCGCCCCGCGCCGCGAAGTTGGCCGGCGCGCCCCACTTTCCTTTTTGTCCTCGCGGCTCCGCGGGCTCGGCCGGGCCGGCGGGGGCGCGGGCGGCGGCCGGGCCTCCCCCCCTCCGCGCCGCCCCGCCCGCGCCCCGCGCCCGCACAAAGCGCGCCCGGCGCCGCGCGGCCCGCACGCCCGGGGCCTCGGCCCGGCCTTGGCCTGAGGCGCGGCGGCGGCGGCGGGGCGAGGAAGCGCGGGCCCGTCCTCCGGCGCGGCGCCCCCGCCGGCCCGCTCGGCGCCCCCGCCGCGCGCCCCCGCCCCCTGCCGGCCCCGCGCAGCCCGCCCGCGCCCGCCGCCGGCCCGCCGGCTCCGCTCCTCACCTCGGCATCGGCGGCGGCCATGGCCCGGGCCCGCAGCGTGGCCCCGCCCCTCCCGCGCGCCATCGCCCCGCCCGCGCCTCGCGGCCCAGGGCGGGGCGGGCCGGCCGAGCGAGTCTGCGCCTGCGCCCGCGCCCGCGCCTGCGCGCTGGGGCCCGGACAGCGGCGTCCGCGGCGCGGGCCTGCGCCGGCCCGAACCGAGCCGCGCCGGCCGGGCGGGGGCGTAGCCGGGCGGGACGGCCTTCCCTGAGGCGCCGCGGCGGGCGGGCGTCGCCCTCGCGTTTTCATAACTCTCCTCTCGCCCCACTTAGGCGTTCTGGCGGGCTGGCCGGGGGCGGGGAAGGACCCCTGACCTCTCACCCCGGACACGTCGTTCCGTGGGCCCTCTCGGAGGGCGGGCCCTGCCCTGCGTCCTAGGGCGGTGCCCGGCGGGGGGTGCGCCCGGCTGGGAGGTGGCCGTGGGGGGCTGTGCAGGTGATGGGGGATGCCCCAGCTGGGGGCGGTGTCCCGCCTGCAGAGCCGCCCCCAGGAGCGGGGGGTGGCCCGGCCCGGTGGGGACGTCTCGCTGGGAGCGTGAGCGTTGCCTCGGTTGAGAGGTGCTCCGCTTCGAAGGCGTGGCGACGAGGGGCAGTGCCCAGTTTAGGGGTGCTCCAGCCAGGAGTACGTCGGGGCTGTGAGGGCGGATGCTTTCTTGGGGAAGGTGCCCCACTAAGATGCGCCCAGGTTAGGGACAGTGTCCTGATGGGGGAGCTGCTCCCGTCTGGGGATCCCCTGGTTAAGGGAGATGCCTGGCTTGGGGGTGCCCCAGCCGGACAGCGTCCCTGAGCACCCCAAGCTCCGTGCCCAGCACCTGCCTGCCTGCGCGCTCGCCACCCAGTGGGCACAGGGCTGGCAAGACCGCCTGCCCTGGACGGCGCTGGCCGAGCCACCCGTTCGCCACATCCAGACCCGCGTCTCCCCTCCCCTGGAGCGCGAGGAAAGAAGCATGGGCCGAAATTGGGGTTTTCTGGCCAGTCTTCGAAACAGGAACTGAGGAGGTCGAGTTGAAGGTGAATCTGCCCCCCAACCCCGCGGAGGCACAGTCTCATGGAACAAAGATGCCGGGAAAACGCCAACCTGTCATTGACGGCGCACAAGGCGCGGAGGAGGAAACGGACCCCTCGACCTACCGGAAAACCTTCCAGGTTTTCTTTGGGCAGCCTAAGCCCAAAGGCCAGGGACCCCCGAGTTCTGTCTGGAGCCTCAGGAGCAGTGTTCTGTCTTGGTTCATACCACCCAATCTGACGCACCTTCACCCACACCTGCCTCTCGGGCTGTCCTCTCCATCTCCACTCCTGCCTTGCGCCCTAGCCTGTCCCTTCCCTGAAATGCTTTTAGCTCAGGCATCTGAGGAGCTCACTTCTCTACCATCCTTGGGTCTGAATACTATCTCTTCAGGGAAACCTTCTGGAGCCTCACAACTTAAAAATTATACTGCTTGGGCCCTGGCCGGTTTGGCTCAGCAGTTAGAGCGTCGGCCTGCGGTCCAGAGAGACCTGGGTTCGGTTCCCGCTAAGGGCACGTACCTCGGTTGCAGTTTGTCCCCGGCCCTGGTTGATTGTGCGGGTTACTCGATGTGTCCCTTTCACGTTGATGTCTCTCTCTCTCTCTCTCCCTCCCTCTCTCTCTCTCTCTCCCTCCCACTCTATCTGAACAAAAAATGTCCTCGGGTGAGGATAAAAATAAATAAATAAATAATAAAAATTATACTGCTTGGCCCGGCCAGTGTGGCTGAGTGGCTGAGCGTGGACCCATACACCAAGAAGTCACCAGTTCGATTCCCAGGCAGGGCACATGCCCAGGTTATGGGCCCATACCAAGTGGGGGGCATGCAGGAGGCGGCCAATCGATGTTTCTATCTACTACTCTCCCTCTCTCTCTAAAATTAATAAAGAAAAAAAATTTTTTTTAATTATGCTGTTTGCCCTGGCTGGTGTGGCTCTGTGGTTGGAGCGTCGGCCTGTGCACTGAAGGGTAACAGGTTCGATTCTCCATCAGGGGTTCGTGCCTGGGTTGCAGATTCGATCCTGGGGCCATATGTGGGAGGCAAGCAATCAATGTCTCTCTCCCCACTCCTTCCACTCTCTCTAAAAATCAATGGGAAAAGTATCCTCAGGTGAGGATTAACAAAATAAATAAAGTTATCCAAACTTAAAAGAAAAAAAATGTTACAGCACCCCAGAACTTCCCTGGTTCATTTTACTCCATAACCGTATTTTTTAGTTTTTGTTTTTCCTTTATTGGTGTTAGAGAGGGACAAGGACATAGAAACATCCATGAGAGAAACATTGATTGGCTGCCTCTTGCATGCCCCTAACTAGGGATTTGGCCCACAACCCTGGCATGTGCCCTGACTGGGAATGGAACAGGGGACCTCTTGGTGCAGGAGTCAATGCTCAATCACTGAGCCACACTGGCTGGGCTCCATAGCTATATTCTCTGTCTTTCCCACTACAATGTAAATTCAGAAGGCCAGGGAGCTTTGTTTTGTGTGCCCTAGTGCCTAAAACCATAGTTAGCGTATAGGGTTCAAACATTTGTTGAATGAAGATATGAAGGAAAATTCTTTACCAGGCAAATAACAAAATAAATGAAACGTCAGAAGTAGGCTGCACATTCCTGAATTGCACCCTAAGCGCAATCCACCCTTCCCCTTGCATGATCACAGGTAACACGCCAGCTGCTGTTCTCCACACATGACGTGTTAACGCTAACCATCAGGTCAGTCATGAGATAGACGTTGTTCTTATCCATAGTCTGTAAATGTACAAACCAGAGCAAGAGAGTTGGGTGGATTCAAGGCCACCCAACTGTCAAGAGGCAGAGATGTGATCTGAACCCATGTGGACTTTCCTTTCAACTGAGGCCACAACTTCTGGCAGATGAATTAGATGATCTAATCATGACATACTTTGTGCTTTTCTCCAGTGTTTACCCTCTCCTTGCCCCACTCACTAACACATTTCCAACAGCAAAGGGTGGCCAGTGGGATGGGTGCAAAAGTGATACAATCTAGTTCCCAGCCCGTTCCCCCAGAAGTTGGAGGGGCAGGCCTAGTAAGCTGGGTGAGGGTGAAACCCATAACAGCTACCCTGTATCCAGGGGTGGAAGTCTGGACTAGAAAATGACAGCTACATCACCAGGCCCAAATCCTCCTCCTCTAGACTGTTTATTATGTTCAAAAAATAAACTTGTCAAGTTGGGGGCACAGGGACTTGACCTGTCCCCTCATAGTCCCATGAGCTTGTTATAGATCAAGGTAACTGAGACCTGTGGCCAACGTCACCCTTCATCATATGGCAAAGTCTTAACCCCACCTCCAGTGTTTCCCAAAATGTGTCCGGGGATACTGGTAAGGTGGAGCGTAGAAAGTCAGCAGGATGCCCCTTTGGGAAACGTCTTTCTGCAAACCCTGCCGTTTATTTGCTCTTGGGTTCCTGGAGTCCTAGAGAATCCGTTGAGACGCAGACCTCGGGAGCAGGCCGTGTTCCTACTTGGATGGGAGGCGAGGAGCAGCATCTGAGTCCGACGTGACACTTGAGGCCAAGGCTAAGGACAAACCTCCCCCTTCACCCCTGCGGGACTTCCTTGGGCGCAGGTCTAAACCGCGGTGCCTGCAACGACGGTGCTGCCCGGACCGCCCAAGGTGTGTGTTTGTGAGATGGAACAGGGTGGTCTTCTCCCCCTGACAAACTCATTTTAAATACACGCTGGGGCTCCAGACACGAAACCCAGCTCCCAGGGCACTTCCTTAGGCAGAGCCGGGAGTCCGAACAGCTAAGGTCCCGGGTTCAAATGACCCAACATGCTTAGCTCCCAGGGCTGGCCCCATCTCTGGGGCCCCAGCGCTCGCTCCCCCAGCCCGCGACACCCAGAAAAAAGAGGGGCTCGGGGCCGCGGAGGCGCGCCTAGCACCAGTGGGGCGAAAGGGGCTGGAGCCCTAGATTTGGCGGCCGAGAGGGAAGTGTCGAAGGGGGAGGGGCCTACGGAAGGGGCGTGATGGGAGGGGAGGAGCGAGAGGGGCTCCTGCCTAGAAGGGGCGGGTCCAGAAAGGCTCAAGCCCAGGAGGGGGCCGCCCGGGGGAGGGGCCTAGAAATGGATGAGGGCGGGCCCGAGGGCCCCAGGCTGCGCTGCGCAGGGCGGCCGCAGGAGGGCGCCTGAGAGGCCGGCCTGCGCCCAGCGCTACAAATGAAATGCTTTATTTACACCGTGTCTGTCCAGCCCTGGCGGAGAGAGGCCGGCTGCAAGTGGCCTGGAGGAGGCAGAGGGGCCAGCGAGTCCTGAGTGGGCCGGGCCAGGCCAGGAGCAAAGACACGAGGCCCTGGGCACCCGGTCCTACGGTAGAGGTCAGCCAGCCCGGAGAAGGCAGTACGGGGTCAGCTCCCGGGGATCAGGCCGGGGTCCGCACTGCCGCAGCTCTGTTCATAGGACGGTGGGGCCTCTGCAGAGAGAGAGTGAGGTCCGCATAGGGCCCATGGCGCCTTCCCACCCAGGCCCCAGGCCCCCACTCACCATAGGGGTGGCCCCACAAGCTGTACTCCGGTGGCAGGACCGAGGTACTGGTGGTGGGCACTGGCCCTCCAGACCCGTCTGCGAAGTAGGGCACAGTGGCACCTGTGGAGATGCACAAGGCAGGGGGCAGAGGGTGGGAGGCAGGGCTGCCGCCCTGAGGACAGGGTTCAGGGGCGCCAGACGCCGCACCAAAGGTGGCAGGCGGCAATGGCTGTGAGTGCCTCTTGTCTGTGAAGTGGGGGTGGCGAGCCACAGCCTCGGCCTCTTCCTGGGGTGGTGCAGAGGGCACCACTGAGGACGGAGCCCCAGGAGGTGGCCCAGGGCCCGGCTGGGGACTCAGCGGAACTTGGTTCACTGCGATATTGCCGATGAAGACCGGGAGGGTCACCGAGGCTTCAGGCGCCTTCAGGGAGACCTGCGAGGGATGGGTGGTGAGGGTCCAGACCGCCCGGCCCACTCTCCCCAGTCGCCCCCAACCCCAGTACCTGCAGGTAGTAGTCCACGTGGATGAGGGTGCAGCCTGGCAAGGCTGACTGGGGCAGGGCGGGCACCAGAATCTGCTCTTGCCATTGCGTCCGCCTCCAGGCCTTGACTCCGGCGCCCTCCACCTCCGCGATGGTCCGCACGTCATAGATCCAGCGCTTGGCCTTATAGGACACTTTCTGGGAAAGGGCCGGCCTGTGAACCTGGGCAGGCAAGTGACCTATCCCTCCACCATCCCATGGGGACTCTGACCTGCAGCAGACTGGCCACCACAGGGCCGGTGTCCTTGCCCGACTGGTTCTCGATGTCAGCCTGCAGCCGCAGGACCTGTCCCACCACATAGCCTCGCAGGTCTGTGCTGGCCGTGAGGACCACGCTGCCCGTCTTCACCAGCTTGTAGGAAAACTTCTTGGTGGTGGAGGCCACATTGGGTTGCTTGAGAAGGAGGGTGGAAAGGGAGTTGGTGGTGTGGGCAGGCTGGACCCCTGCGGACCCTGGACAAGCCCACTCAGCCCTGCCATGCCCCGGCCCTGGACAAAGCACAGTCGGCTCAGGACAGAGAAGTCACTGTTCTTCTAGACCCTTGCCCTCTTACCTTGGCTGGGGACAGGGCATCAGGTAAAGGTGGGGGCCACCCTGGGGCCACTGGCCCATCCTCACCTCGATGTCTGGGATGCTGTTCAGGTTCAGGGGGCTCAAGATGTAGAACACACAGCTGCACTGGTGATCCTTAGAAAAACGTGGCGTGTCGATGGTGGCCCTCACCTGGTACACAATCTTCCCAAAAGGGCCCTCGAAAGACGTGGGTGCTGTGGCTGGAAAGAGAACATAGACTGGCACCCAACTGCCCCCTCCACCTCCCACCCACCCCCACTGTTACCACCAGGACTGGCCAGGCTGGGTCCTCACCAGGAAGCAGAAACTGGAAGGGGAAGTTGTGCTCTCCAGTAGGCAGGCTCCCTGCAGAGACAGGAGGGAGGTGTGGGGGAGAGGGGACCTCGAGAGCCCAAGGTGACCCCAAGACAGACGCAAGCACTGCATCCAACCAGCTCACACTACATCTGGTCTAGCTGCTGGGATTCCCAGCACCACAGCAGCTCAGGGCCAGGGCCTGGGCAAAGGATGGGGGGGCAAGAGTTTGGCTTGAACAACGGGGACTCAGAACTGTTCCAGAGAAGAAGCTGGCCCCCTTCAGCCACCCAGCCCCTGTCGGGCGATGCCCAAAGCCGGCCAGGAAGAGAAACCCACCAGAGTGCACAGTCGTGGGAGAGGGTGGGCCAGTACGGTGTTCCCAGAGGCAGATGGAAGAGTGGAGTGGACATCCAGGCTCCCACACAGACTCACCTTTGTCAGCCAGCGACAGAGCGCTGTTGAAGTAGCCCTCCTCCACCATCCACGATGCATCGTTGGCCTTGCTGGAGACCCTGCAGGCGCCCGTGCAGCTCACCCGAATGGCTGCAAGAAGCGGGGGACGGTGAAAGCCCCGCCAGCTGCTAGCCTGGCCCCTCCCTGCCCCCAGCACAGGGATTCAGGCAGGGCTGGCAGCACCCAGGAGCCAGGCAGCCCCACCCAGTTGGGCCCTGAGGAGGCCAGCAAATGGTTTGCTGCCTTTTAGGAGACAGCTTCAGCCCATCCCCCATCCCAGTGTGTTGACAGGGAGCCAGGATGGTGAGGCACGGAGTGACATCTGTTCTGCAGCCCAGGAGGGCCCCAGTGGTCACCCAGAGGACCCCTGGGCAATCCCAGCTGGATAACCTTGGCTCCAGCCACTCCTGGGCCCACCAGACCTATGAAAACCCTGCTCTCTATAGGGGATGCTTGGGGCATGGATGAGGAACTGAGGCCTATGGGGCTGTTGACCTCTGACCCCACCTTCTACTGCCTCACAGCCAAGTCAGTTAGAGGGGGCGGCACCCCTTCATGCTCCAGGAAGCTAACTGCTAGCCCTCACGCTGCAGGAATGTGGTCAGACCCGCCTGAGTAGAAAAGTATCCAATGCTGACACACTGGAGTCAAGTGTGGGGATACTCTTGACTTCCTGGGCCAGTACTGCCCAGGAGAGGTGATTTTCTGCATCCAGAGAAGTCTTGGTCCTCTCCCCCACTCCCCGGTGGAAGCATCCAGCCAAGAACCATTAGCAGCTGAGATTGCAGCGCATCACGCATGCTCAGAGTCCAATGTGATCAGAAGGCTGTGGCTGGACAACCAGCCCAGCGAGGGTGGTCACCACAGCTGGGAGACCCAAGCAGGCAGAGGGGCAGAGGCTTGGTGACAGGTGACCTTGCAGTTCCACCCCTCCTCTCTCAGCAGGGCTGAGTCAAGGCCAAAGACTTCAGCATCCCTGCCCAATTCTACTTCCTCCTGCTCTGAAGGGTAGGTGACTCAGAATCTGACACCTTACTGATAGAGCCACCAGGTAGGAAGGTGCCCAGGGCCAGGGGTCAGCCATACCAGCCATGTCCATAGTCTCCACAGGGTGACTCCACCTTGCTGACACAAGCTTCCTGTTGGTCACCCACAGCACACCCAGTCTCCTTCATGACCCTGGCTTGTCCTCCATCCCTATCAGCACTGCCAGTGACCAACCTTCTGCCTCTGTGCCAGCCCCGTCTCAGCTCTGGGAACTCAGCCCCCTGCTTTCTGACCCACAGTCCGTCAGCCAGCCCCTCTGAGGTCCAGACCTAGAAGTGTTTCCACCCTGACATTGGGAACACCAGGGCCCCTACAGACCAACACAGCCCCAGAGCAACCAAGCAGGGGTATGAACAGGCAGAGAAGGAGAGAGGTGACTGTGACAGGAAGAAGATGCCACACTGCTCTTACCCTCCCCGTGAAAGGGTGCAGCCCCCTTGGATCTAGCTGCCCTAGGGATGCTGGGATCAACAGAGTATGCCAGGAGGGCTGCAGTGGTCCCCAGACTAGCCCAATACCAGCCAAGCACTGCCAAGTGACCCCAGTGTATGACACACACAGCTGAAGAATGCCAGGCCCACCTCTGTCTGATTTCCTGCCCACAACTCCTTGAGACAGAATAAAACAGTTGTTTCAAACCACTTAGTTGAGTGATGATTTGTTACTTAGGGGTTTACATAGTAGCAAATAACAAGAGCAGATATCCACCTCACTAGAAGTCAGGGAAACTCAGAGGGCTTACCATTGTAACCCATCAGACTGGCAAATAGTCAGCATTTTGATGTGTTAAGAGGAGGTGGGATATGGACACTCCCTTAGAGTAACCAAACACAGGCCAACGCGAGCCTGGAGGCGCGCCAGTCAGGATGGGCCCATACGAGGGGGCCCAGCTGTTCTTAGAATCTCACTATTTGCCCAGGAGCCTTGTGCGCCACTGCTCCTAGGGGCAAACAATAGGGGCATAGCCCATGTCCCAGAGCACAGTGGCTGAAAGACTCACCCACCCAGCTGGCCCTGGCCCCCAGAATTCAGGTGAACCCAGCACCACAGCAGCACAGGGCCATGGCTTGGGCAAAGGATGGAGGATGAGAGTTCAGCCTGAATAACAGAGACTCAGAACTGTTCCAGAGACTGGCGCCCAACCCAAACCCAGGAGAAGCTGGCCCTCTTCAGCCACCTGGCCCTATCAGGTGATGCCCACCCAGCTGGCCCGGGCCCCCAGAATTCAGGTGAACGAGCTATGGGGGCACCTGACCCCAGAAAAACAAACAGTATCAAACCAACCTTGGGTGACCCCAGAGGGGCCCAAGTTCTGTAACTTTCTCAATGCCCATGCAAAGAGCCCCAACATGTACTGACACAGAGGCCCCTTGGGGGAACCCTGACTGAACAAGAAGCCTCCAGTCATTGTCTTGGAGTCAAAACATCCTGTTCCTGTCCACCCCCTTCTCCTAGGGGAACAATGGAAGTGTAGAAGATGAACACACATCGCAAGCTGTCTTGTCCCATGCTGGGGGCATCTGCTCCTGGAGCAGAGCACAGTCATCACACCAGCATGTGTGCCCATTGCACAGGACAGGGGCAGGTGTGTTCTGGCAAGGCGCAGCCTCCACTGCACAGCACCGAGTGCGGCTGCAGAACCACCCTGCTGTACCACAGGTCTGACGCTGTCAGCTGTACCGGTGCTCAGGTGTATAACAGAAGGCAGGCACTGCACTGACGGGTATCTGTGTATGGACAGTTGGGCTGCTCTAATTCTCTAAGGAAAATCGCCATGTGGGTTGTGTTCCAGAGTGACTTTGAAACTTCCCTCTCGATCCAACACTTCCACCGGTCCAGCAGCCCTCCTCCCTTGCACACCTGCAGTATGGCCATGAAGACTTCCGCTCATTCCTCATCTGGTCCCATAGGTCTCTCCCGCCCTCCGCCAGCTCCCACAAACCTGGAGCAGCCTGGCCTTTGCCACGTCCTTTCACTAAAGCTCTAGCCACAAGCCACTTCTCTTTGTCCTGGTTCCAAACCTGTCACATGAAAATAACAGCACCCCTCTCCCAGGGCTGCTGTGAAGATTCATAGACTCGGACCACTGGACGTGGGGAGGATGGTGTCTGGCCCGTGGTGAGAGCTCAGTGAGCTGGTGGAGCTGGGGACTGGCTGCTGTCCCTTCCTCTATGTCCTTCTCGGGCATGGAGGACCTCCCCACTGTATCGCTGGCTGGTAGTAGTTCAACAAGTATCTTTTCAATCAAAGAAAAAGAAAGAACCACAACCATTCTTTTCCCACGCCCGGGCAGGGCTTGGAAAAAGCCCCAGAGCGACTACAGCACCCACATTCCCTCTGCTCCCAGGGGTAACCTGAAACAAACCCTCTTTGGCCTGAAGTCAGTGGCCCTTCTAGTCCCCTGCCCATTCCCTCACCTTTTCCTCTCCTACTGAGAGCCAGGAATCCCTGTGCTGTGCTCTGAGGGTAGAGCCCTACGTCCCATCCAGGTCCCCGTCTACACCTCAGACAGCACACCTCAGACAGGAGGCCAGCACCTGTGGAGAGTGCTAGCTAGCAAGGGCCACTGCAGCAACTGGATGCCCAGTCCCAAAGCCCCAGATGTATGCACCAGCACAGGGACAGGCCAGGAGGGCTCAGGTTAAGTTCCCAGACACCAGCTGCGCCGGGGCCTGGGGCACACAGGGATGAGCAAGACACCCCAGCCCACAAGAACAAGCTTAGACTGGATGTAAGGGGGTGCCCAGGTGCCCAGTGGCCCTGCTGGGAACCCGCAGATTCGGCGGCAGGACTGTCTGTGAAGCGAGAGAGCCCGCGCCAGTAGCCTGGGCGTGTGGGGGAGAAAGCCCAGCCTCCAGGTAAAGACCCAGCAGGTGCGAGGCGCAGCGGACCCCGGAGCCCGACCGGGAAGCTCGAGGCGGGCATGTGTCCAGGTCACAGTGGGCTCCGTCAAGGCTCTAAGCCCCCACCCACGAGGCAGAGAACAGGAAGGGCAGAAGCGGAAGACTGGGCCACCCAGGCCTCCCTGCTCTGCTCCGAACGCAGCCGGTCTCCCACCCCGGAAGGTCTGCACAGCCCCGCCAGCCTCGCCCAACACTTCCCGCACCCGGGGGACCCGAGAGGAGCCCACACGAGCCCCGGGCCGGCGGGAGGAACGAGGGGGGTGTCGCCGGCTCAGCGCCACCAGCAGCCGCTTCCGGGAGCCCCAGCCCTGCCCCAGGTGCTGGCGCAGCCACCTGAACGCCGCCCGGCCCGGCCCTCCCCGAGACGACCCGGTGCCCACCTCGGAAGGGCAGAGGCGCCCCCAGGCACACGTGCACGGCCCCTGCCAGCGGCTCCCCCGGGCTGTAGACGACGCGGCCGTGGCTCAAGCGGATCTGGAAGAGCTGCACCCGCCCCATGCCGCCCGCGGGCCTGACCGGACAGCCGCTCACTGCCGCCCCCACCTGCCTGCTGGCCCGCTGTGCTCTGGGCGCCGCACCGGTCCGGCCCGCCCTCGCCCCCGCCCCCGAGCTTGGCCCCACCTTCCGGCCAGCCCGTTCCCCGGCCCGACACGCCCTCGGACACGCCCCGCCCGCTCTGCCCGTCCCCCGCCCGGCCACGCCCCCCGCCCGGTCCGGCCCTCGGCCCCGCCCCCGCCCGCTGATCGACCACGCCCCTTGCCCGCTGGGTTTGGGGCCCTGTCCCCTCGTCTCCTGCCGGTCCCCATCCCGACGGTCTGCCCGCAGCCCCGCCCCTGGCCCGCAGGGTGGAGGTCCGGCGCGGGTCCCCGGAACCCGGCGCGCGGGCACACCTGCTGCTCCGGGACAGCGGCCCGCTCACCTGCCGAGGGGCGGGGCCATGGCCCGGGCTGGGGGCGGGGCCGGGTCGCTGGGGGCTCGCTGGGAAGGGTCCCTCGCTGCGCTCAGTGCGTCACCCCACGGAAGGACGTCAGGGGGCGGGCCGGCGTGTGTGCGCCTGCGGCGTGCGCGCCGCGGCCCGGGGCTCGGCGTGGGGTCCCTGGGGGCGGCCTTCGCGCGGAGCCAGCGGCGAACGTGTGGGTGCGGGGCTGGAGACCAGGGCGCGCGGGGTGGAGGCTGCGTCAGGCGGCTTGTGCCTGACTCCAGGGCGCCGAGGGTCGTTCTCCGATTTATCGTCCTTAAAAGGCGGCTTTGTGGACAGCGAATTGTGGCGGGGGGCGAGTGCACGCGGGACACCCCGAGAGGCCTAGAGGGAGAAGGCCGTGCTAGCCCGGAGAAGCGGCGTGGGCGCCCACTGCTCGTTAAATATGCGTGCCCGAAGGAGGGCGTCGGGGTGACGCGAGGTTTTTGTCCAGAACAGCTCTGTTAATGGGGTTGCGTTTTCTGATGAAGAAAACTGGCCCAGATAGAAGTCGTTTGGGATATGGGAGAAATTCCTGACCTGCAGAGTCCGAGATGTCCACTGGACACCTGTGCATGAGTTTGTGGGAGACAAAGGACCTTGTGTGTACAAGTCAGGGCGCTGATGACATTCGAGTTTGGGGTGAAAGCCACAGAAACCTAATCTAGCCCTCCAGCAAAAGAAGGGGGGACTTACAGGCTGGCAGGGTCCTGATGGGCCAGGTGAGGAAAGGGAGGTGCCAGGGAGCCCTGGAAGGCCAGGGGTAGGCAGCCAGCGCCAGGCCCCACCTGGCTTGGTGGATACTGGTGTTCTCCAAAGAGAGTCTGATTGACCATGCTCTCAAAACTGCAGATGGGAAACTTCTTGAACAAGGAGTTCAGGGTGCCCAGGGGAAGGAGGAGGATTGTGGGCATCCCCAAATGCCAAATATCCACAAATGAAGTCAAGCGTTGCTCTGCGGAGTGGCTCAGTGGTTGAGCATCCTCCCATGCACCAGGAGGTCGCTGGTTCTGTGCCTGGTCAGGGCTCCCGCTGGACTTGCGGGCTTATTCCCCAGTAGGGTGCATGCAACCTATCAATGTTTCTATATCCCTCTCCCTCTGAAATAAAAAACAAACATATTGGAAGAAAGTGTTTCCAGACGGAGGAGACAGATGTATGTTGGCTGCAGCTGAGGTGGAATAAATAAGAACAGAAAACGGGTGGTCTTCATCCCAGGGTACCCTCTATCTCCCACAGTCAGACCCCACTTCAACCTCACAGCCTTGATTCTGACCCCATAGCCCACCCATCCCCTGTTCTGGGAACTGCTGCCTGGCCCTCGCCTCTGCCATCATCACCAATGCCCTGACCTTTCTTTCAACATTCCTTTCCTCTTGCTCTCTGGAACCTGGGTTGTTTCCCTGGCCTCTCCAGTATTGATGTTTATTTTCTCTTTTTTTTTGGTACGTGCCCCTAGCGGGAACCGAACCCAGGATTCTTTGGTCTGCAGGCCAACGCTCCAACCGCTGAGCCAAACCGGCCAGGGCATGTTTTCTTTCTTTTAAAAAAAATTTTTTTTATCCTCACCCGAGGATATTTTCCATTCATCTGCAGACAGAGGGAGGGAGGGAGAGAGGGGGAGAGAGATAGAACAACTGGTTGCCTCCTGCAGGACCCTGACTAGGGCTAGGGATGAACCACAACTGAGGTGAGTGCCCTTGAACAGAATCGAACCCGCGACTCATCGGTCTGAAGGCTGATGCTTTAACCAGTGAGCCAAACTGGCCAGGGCTCTTTTTTTTTTTTTTTTTTTTTTAGTATGTTTTTATTGATTTGTTTTTAGAGAGAGAGGAAGGGAGAGAGAAACATCGATGTTTCTTACATCAATTGGTTGCCTCCTGAACACCCCCTACTGGGGATTGAGCCTGGAACCTGGGCTTGTGCCCTGACTGGGAATCGAACCAGAACTTCTGAGATCATGAGAGGATGCTCAGTCCACTGAGCCACACAGTCAGGGCTAGATATTTATTTTCTTTCTTTTTTTTTTTTTTTCAATCCTCACCCAAGGACATTTTTGCATTTATGTTCAAGCAGAGCGGGAGGGACAGAGAGAGGAAGAGAGAGAAAAACATCCATGTGAGAGAGACACATAGGGTGGTCGCCACCCACATGATCCCAACTGGGGCTGGAGACAAACCCCAACCAACCGAGGTACATGCCCTTAGCAGGAACTGAACCCGGGACTCTCTGGTCCACAGGCCGACACTCCAGCCACTGAGCCAAACCGGCCAGGGCTAGATGTTTATTTTCACACAACTCCTGTGCCTCTGGGCCTGGAGGTAGTGTGGGTGCCCTCCTGATCCCTATGACCACTTCCAGACCATTTCCCTGTCACCCTAAAAGCTCCCAGCATAAATTCATTTTCTCAGAATAAGAGCCCACCACCCTCCACCATTCTCATCTTCAATGCCAAGTGAGTCCCCCTTATTTCTTGGTGAGTTCAGCTCTTGGTGGTTTTCAACCCTCTGGTACCAGTTTGCAGAAATTCTTAGTGACTTCAGAATCCTCATCGGTGATCCTTCCAAACTTCTGGCCTCTATATCTGAAAATGTACCCAGGATTTGTTTTAACTGGGTGAGGGACAAAGAGACAACTGCTTGAAGGGAGAGTTTAGTGCTTACCCAAAAGGAGGGGACCACCACACCACACAGCCACGTAGGGAAGTGCTAGGGTTGGTCAGCCCAGAGCCCTTGCGTTTTCTGTGGGAAGTAATGGGTAAAGCAAAAGAGGCTGTGAACAATGTCAGTGTGTTGTAGGGGTGGTCTCTAGTTGTCCAGTACCTAGCCCTGGGGTGATAGAGACAGAAATACTGGTTTGGTGAGTTAGATAAAGAAGGTGGTTGGGGGTGTAGGTTCTGGATTGGTTGGTTTGCATATGAAAGGTGTGGTCTCAGGAAGTTGTTTGCTGTCTCTAGGAATTGGCCCTGGGTGGGGCAATCTCTCCTCAGCCATCAAGCTCCCCCACCCCCCCAGATGTCAGAGCATCCTAAATATGAAAATAAAATAGCAGTACATCTCTCTGTCCCATGACTCTCATCTAGGAACTCCAGTCGACTTCTGCAGCTCCCTCCAGTGGCTTTGTTAGTTTGTCCGCTGAGATGTCTGCCAACCCCTTTTTCCATCCCTTTCTGTTTGCGCTGTTTCTCCCATCAGAAGGTGGGTTCCATCCCTTCCCATGCAATCTGGGCTGCCCTGGACTTGCTTTGACTGCCAGTCCTGTGACCAGAGATGCTGGAACAGTTGCAGGGTCTCAGGAGGCTTCTCATTTCGTTAGCATGGTGTGTGAGATGCCATGGAAATATGCCTGGCTACCCTGCTGGAGAAATCTCAGAGAGAGAGAGAGAGAGAGAGAGAGAGAGAGATTGCCTGGACACGTGAGAGACACTGGCTCAGACTTCCTGCTTCAGTCACACCCATGGACTGTGGCTGAGTGGCCCTGGCTGCGTCAACTGTCTACTATTGCAGAACAAACCGCCTCAGTTGATTGATTACTTACTGTGACAACTATGCTGCACTCAGCTGGTGCTCTTCTGCTCTGTGTAGCACCTGCTGAGGAAGAATCATCCAGGACATCTTTGTCACATATGTATCTCATGCCTCAGCTGGGGTGGCTGGGATAGCCCACATCTGGTAAGGTGACATACCAGGTCAGGTATCTTCCATGAGGCCTCTCCACATGGCTGGTTTGGGGTTTTGCACAGCATGATGGTCTCCAGGTAGACTGATTACCTGGCGGCAGGCCACCAAGATGGAGGAAGGTGAAGCTGCCAGTCCTCAGGCCTGGGCTCTGAAGTCCCAGAACTTTCTACTATGTCAAATGCATCAAAACAGTCACAGGACCAGTCAGGTGAAGCATCACACACAAGGAGAAAAGGAGTTGATGGTGATAATTTGAGATAACTGACCCTACCAGCCAACAGCAGAACCAACCAGCTGAGCCCAATCTAGATTACAGAACCACGAGAAAAGAGTGGTTTTAAGCCAGGAAGTTTTGGGGTGGTTTGTTATGTACCGATAGATTACTGGAACAGACATGGGTACTTAGAAGTGAGATACTGACACAAAATTCTGGAGTGTGGCACTGACTTCGGAACCAGGCAGCAGGTGGACATGGGCAGGGCAGTGAGAACATTGTTGATGGAGCCTGGAGAGAGGGTGTTCCATGTAAGGTATTGGCAGGAAAATGGTGAGACCATTGTCTGTGGTAATGTGGAAAATATAAAATATATCTAATGATCTGATTTTCCTGGCACAAAGTTTAAAGGGCCAACTGGCTTCTTTCCATACAAAAAGCCATACCAAAACAAAAACAAAAACAAAGAAACGCCATACAGGCTAGGGAACCTTCCTAAAGACAGTTGCAATGTAGCTTTCGTCTAATGAAGTGAGTTGTAATTTGATACATAGAGTATCCATCATTTTTTTAAAAGAGTTGTATCTGCTTGAACTAAAATGGTCAGAGTTAGAAATAAATGGTGTCTATGGGCCTCTAACTTTCTACAGGCAAGAAGTAGGCTAAGA